AAGCCCATGTGACCCCTGAGGAACAGATCCTCAAATGGCCTTAAGTGTAAATGACCTTAAGAGTAAAACCAAATTGGATTATCTGGGCCAACTTTATGGCCTTAAACACCTAAAAGGAAAGTATAACCAAAGATTAAAGGGGCCAATATAATTTCTTAAGAGTCCATATGCATAGCTAAAGGCTACATAACAAGCAACAATGCCAGATAGGAGATACCTTCTTTTGAGTTGTTGGCCAGCGTGGCCCAGGGGACACCCAGATAGTAACCCAGCATAGAACTGGGAAAATGAACAGCAGACCCCAATCTTATCTAAAGGAATATTGACACATGACTGCTGCTAGATGAGAAACAGCTGACCTTCCTAAAAGAAAGACCTCTAGACAGGCTGACTAGTTTCACCAGATGGAAAAGTAGTGGGGAACAACTGGGGGTGCTGACATCATAGCAGATATTGGCAGGGATAACAGAGTATAAGGGCTCTAGTCGGGGGAGGGAGGGTATGGGAGGTGCCATATGGGAAGTGGGTGAACTGTTGAATAAGATGGTTTGTGATGTTCTGTGTGATACACACACACACACACACACACACACACAAATCAACAATTTTAAAAAATGAGTCATGAGCTGGAGAGATGGCTTAGCGGTTAAGAGCACTGGTTCTCACAGCGACCCAAGTTCAAATCTCAGCACCTACTTGGCAGCTAACACCTGTCTGTAACTCCAGTTCCAGGGGATCTGACAGCTTCTTCTGTCCTCTGCAGGCATTGCACGACACGGGTACACTTATCTACATGTAGGCAATACATGCATACACATTAAAAAAAAAGAATTATATTTGAGGAGGAAGCATAAAAATTTACATCATGTTAATTAGTAGAATTGATAAACATTACCATTGAAATCTACCCGATGACTTCATAGACATACACAGGTGCCGAGGATCCGAGTGCAACCGATTATGACTAGTAATAATCAGATCATACAGATTAGAGATGCATGCACCAACATCTCAGTGTTAGTAGCAAAAACAATGAGTCTTTCTTTAAGAAACAGTATATTTTAAAATGAAATGAAATTTTCTTTTAAAGGTTAAAAACTCATTCAAATCCTGTCTTGTAAGCACCAGGACCTGAGCGCAACACCCGTAACCCAAATAAAAAGTCAACATTGTATTAATTCAACAGCAAACCTAAAAATTTTATAGCCACTTTTGAAAGAGATGTATCTTTGCTCTGGAAACTGTTATTGAATATGTTAAAGCTGTAATGAAATGCTTCTTCTAAAAAATAATAATAATAAATAAAATATGAAAAAAAAAGAAGCAAAGAAGAAGCTGGGTATGATGGAGGCAGAGGCAGGTAGATCTCTGAGATCAAGGTCAGCCTGGTCTATGTAGTGAGTTCCAAGCTAGCTGGGGCTATAGGGAGACCCTGTCTTCTTTTTTTGTTTTTTCCTCTTTTTTAGAATTTACTTTTATTTTATATGTATGAGTGTTTTGCCTACATTTAAGTGTACCCATTTCATACAGTGCCCATGGAAGCCAGAAGAAGGCATCAGATCCTCTGTTTGTAATAGCCATGTGGGTGCTGGGAACCAAACCAGAGTACTCCGCAAGAATAGCCAGTGTTCTGAACTACTGAGCCATCTCTCCAGCTCCTGGAGACGCTTTCTTTAAAAAAAAAAAAAAAAAAAATTAAAAAAATTTACATAAAAAAGAAAAATGTAATACAAAAAATAATGTCTTGGGTTGGAGAGATGACTCAGCAGTTAAAAGCACAGGCTGCTCTTGCAGTGGAACCCAATTAGGTTCCTATCACCTACATGTTAGTCACATGGTGACTAACAACCATCCATAACACCTGTTCCAGGGGATCCAGACCCCTTGTACACATGTCATACACTTACATACATGCAAGCAAAACACTCATACACATAAAATAAATAAAATTAAATAAAAAATAAATTTTAAGTAGGGTGATCGCTCTTTACAGGAGGAATATGTCGACTACACAGAAATCTTAGAAGTGGAAAAAAAGTTAGTTCCCTATCTCAACACCCTAAGACATTTGTTTATAGTGTCTTAAACATTTCTGTGCATAGATGAATATATGTTTAGAACCAGATCCTGGGAGCTGGGCATGGTGGCACATGCCTATAATCCCAGCATTTTCAAGGCAGATGCAGGAGGATAAGTGTAAGTTTAGGACTAAGAGTGGGTCCTGAGTCTCCATCCCTCTTTTTAGACAAGGTCTCATATATCCCAGGCTGGCCTCCAACTTGCTGTGGAGCCAAGGATGGCCCTGAACAACTAACTCTCCTGCCTCTACCTCTCAAGTGCTGGGATTATAGGCATGTGCCACCACACCCAGTTATGTGGTTCTGGGGATCAAACCCAGGCTTCTATGTGCTAGGCAAGCACTCTACTAACTGAGTTATGTCCCCAGCTCCTAGTTTTCTTTTCTTCTTAAAACTTCATTATGAATCATTTTATCTTTAGTATCCCGAAAGAGGAAAGCCAAGAACTGGGAAGATGAAGATTTCTATGATAGTGATGATGATACATTCCTTGATCGGACTGGCCTAGTTGAGAAGAAACGTTTGAATCGAATGAAGAAGGCTGGGAAGATTGATGAGAAACCAGAAACTTTTGAATCACTGGCAAGTAGCTGTTTTTGTGATCATTATGATTTTTAAAGTGGTATCATAGAAATGTAGTACTGAGGTGTTTTTGTGTTGTCTAAATTTAATGGTAACAAATAAGTAGTGTTATTCAAGTTGAGAAAAAGATTTTACTGCTAGAGACTTTTCTCCGGGTTTATATTAGTCCATTAATGGACATTCTTTGAATATGATGCTATTTCAACAAAAAATGTTTCAAGTTTGGGCATTTATAATGAAATTGACTTTAAGACTCTAACATTTAAGAGCAGTTAGAAGAATTTGGAGGAGTATAGGATGATACTGGTCTAGAATAATATGTCTTCATGAAGTTGCCATCATGTGGTGTGCTTTTAACACTATGTTTAGCCGTATTCAGTGCTTAAAACATTATCTAACATCTGTCTTTTTGATTCCTCAATCAATGAAAACAAATGAGTGCTTTCTTTTAAGATGAAGTTTCAGTTGTTCTATATAATTTGAGTTCTTTAATTTAGAAACTAATTTAGCTAGAATAAAATTAACAAATGAAAATTATCAACTACATAAGGACTGGGCTTAGATGGACTCTAAATTAATCCTCCTAAAACGTCTAACAATAATGAAAATAGGAAGATGATAAGCATAGTCTGAAAGGAAAACATTGCTAACCTGTTGATTTGGGCATTATAGGTTGCAAAGTTAAATGATGCTGAAAGGGAACTCTCTGAAATTTCTGAGAGACTTAAGGCCTCAAGCAAAGGTAAGACTGTCATCAAATATTTATTCAACTCCTATCACATAAATACATATATAGTACATTGTGCTAGTAGGTATTAGGGCTTCACTGGCTAATGCATATAGACGTTGAGGTTTTCCTAAGGAGTAATGCAGCATTTTAGAGCCAGAAAAAAAATTACAAATTGTTTGGTTTAACTTCTTTTTATTTAATAGTTGAGGGAAATGAAGCCAAAACCACTTCTCAAGGTCTCACAGCTAAGAATTGTTGGTTTACTCCTAGTATCAATGATGTTCACTGTTCAGCTTTGTTTATGGAAAACTTTGACTTAATTTGAAAACATTTGGGCCATTTTTCTAAACATATATTATCCCATTTTTTGGACAGGTCTGTCAGAGTCACCATCTCAGGATTCCTTAGATGCATTCATGTCAGAAATGAAATCAGGGAGCGCATTAGATGGTGTGTCTCGAAAGAAACTTCACCTGAGAACTTTTGAACTAAGGAAAGAGCAACAGAGACTTAAAGGGTTAATAAAAATTGTAAAGCCAGCAGAGATTCCAGAACTGAAAAAGTAAGTATACTATTAGTTGTATTTGAAAAATTTTTTTTTCGTTGAGGCAATGTCAGCCTAAGCTGACCTCAAACTGACTATGTAGCCAAGGATGACTGAATTTCTTCTTTTTTCTTTTTTTTCAATATTTATTATTTTTATTTTATGTGTATGAGTGTATTGTCTACATATATGTAAGTGCACCTGTGCCATGCAGTGCCCAGGTCCTCTGCAGAGCAGCCAGTGCTCTTAACTGCTAAGCCATCTCTTCAGCCCCAAATTTCTTCTTTTTTCAAATACTTATTTATTGTGCACCTGTGAGTGAGCATGTATAGAGATCACAGGACAACTTGCAGGAGTTGGTTCTCTCCTTTCATTGTGTGGGTTCTGAGAATTGAACTCTGGTTATCAGGTTTTTGTGGTGAGTGCTTTTACTCACTGAGCCATCTCTCTGGCCTGACTTTAAACTTCAGATCCTCCTGCCTCAACTTCCTAAGTGCTAAGATTTAAGTATGTACTACCACATCTGGTTTTATATTTGAAATTTTAAATATGCTTGGTAGCATATTTAGCAGTTGGGGTTATCCTTTTATCTCCTTATTTAATAGTTACAGAATTGAAATATAAGCAAGGAATATTCTATTTTGTGGGGTTGTTTTCAGTGCTGAGGGTCAAACCCAGATCCTCATAAATGGTAAGCAAGTGCTGCACCTCTGAACGATATCCCTCATCCAGAAAACCTTTAAGAACAGAAGGCAGTAGTTTCATAGTGCCTTCATTTGTGAAATGTAGATTGCTAGAGAACTTTCAGTGGATGATATATGGATTCTAGGGTCATCGGAATGCTGTGAGGTTTTAATTTAGTCTTTTACTATAGAATAAATTTATTTTAAAAGTGATAATCACAAAAGGCTGAATTCTCTAATCTAGTCAAGATAAGTAGATAATCAACCACCCAAAATATGAATGCACACATAGGCACAAAGAAGCTGGGCATGGTGGGTCACATTTGTAATCCTAGCACTTGAGAGTTAGAGGTAGGAGGATTAGGAGTGCAAGGTCATCCTCAGCTATGTAATGAGTTCAGGGACAGCTTGGGCTATATTATATAGACCTTGTCTCAAAAACCATACGAAAAAGAAGAAAAAGAAAAAAACAAATCATTTAGGCATTTAGGGCTAGGGATGTAGCTTAATGGCAGAATGCCTGTGTGTATAGATTCTAGGTTCAGTTCCTAAAACTGAAAAAAGAAGGGGAGGAAATGCATCCAAAAAAAGATTTTTTTTTTTTTCTTTTTTGCGACAGGGTCTCCCTGTAGCCCCAGCTCCCTGCTGTCCTGGAACTCGCTCTGTAGACCAGGTTGGCCTCGAACTCATAGAGATCCGCCTGCCTCTGCCTCCCGAGTGCCGTGTACCACCACGCCCAGCAAAAAAAAAAAAATTTTAAGGGGCTGGAGATGGCTCATTGATAAAGAACACTGGCTGCTCTTGCAGAGGATCCAGGTTCAGTTCCCAGCACCCACATGGCAGCTAACAACCATTTATAACTCCAGTTCCAGGGGATCCAACACCTTCTGACTGCTGGGCATTGCACAGTTTAGGTCCACTTACTTACATGCAGGTTAAAACAATCATGCACATAAAATAAAAAATAAATTTAAAAATGCAAATGTGTCTTAATGACTGTTGATCTAGTGATTTACTTTCTAGAATTATTACTATTTTTTGAGACATGGTCTCACTATGTATCCCTGGCTAGCCCTGGAACTCACTGTGTAGACCAGGCTGGTCTCAGACTTACAGGGATCTGCCTGCCTCTGCTTCACAAGTGCTGGAATTAAAGGCATGAGCCACTGTACCTGGCCTATTTCTAGAATATTGTCCTTTACATACTTAGGAAATGGTGAATATTGTTTATAATAGCAAAATATGAGAAACCATATAAATATCAAGAGGAATAGTCAAATATAGATGTACGATAGAATGCCACATAGCTATTAACATAAAGAGGCAGTTTATATAAAATGTGGAATTATTGTCAAAATAAGGATCAAAAGTTGTTTTTTTTGTCTTTATTTTTTGAGACCGTTAGGGTCTTCCTGTAGCCCCAGCTGGCCTGGAACTCACTATATAGACCAAGCTGGCCTTGAACTCACAGAGATCTGCCTGCCTCTGTCTCCCAAGTGCTGGGATTAAAGGCATGTGCCACACCTGGCTAAGATATATTAAATAATAGGATAATGTGTGTAATGACAGTGGTAAGGGGAAATATATAGGTAAGGAGGTCATAGCTTATGTATACAGATACATTCAGTCAGGTTCCCTAAAAACAGTCTCTGAGCTGGGGATTTGTCTGCAAGTGATTCACTGAAAGAGGGCTCTTGGGTTCTCAGGAGACCCCTGTCCTGGAGTGGAATAAAGAAGAAAGATAGGGTAGGGGAACAAGCTGCAAAGATGTGGTTTTAACAGTTTACTCCCACCACAGATGTAGAGGCCAGGGGCCTGGGCTTGACCCTCCCCACCCCCAGAATTGACTGCCTGTGACTTAGGGAGCACAAGCAATTCTGAGAAAGGTATAAATATAGACCTTAGCAGTCCATATCTGTAGTAGCTAGTCTTTCTGTTCAAGGGAATCTTAGAAGGTTACTAAGGGCCACTGCTTCTCTATCTCTGGAAACATTTATAAAGACATGATAACATTAGTTGTCTCTGGAAAGGGAACTGGGTGATTAGAGGACAGCAGCCAGAGGGTGACTTTATAGTATGTATACTTTACACTTTCTAAGTTGTGAACACGTGAATAAACATGCTGTTAACATATACATTTTTTAAAAAAAGAAAAAGAAAATCTTACACTAAATAGTCATACTGTTTTAGGTCTAAACTTATGGTAGTATAGTTACAATTTTAGTCTTGAATAGCACATTACTAGAAAATTGAAAATCATATTAACAATTTTATTGTGGGCTGGGCATGTTTGTACATACTTGTAATCCCTGTGCTAAGGAGGCTGAGCAGGGATCACAAGTTTGAGGCCAGCCTGGATTAGAATAATGATTTCCAGGCCAGTGTGGAATACAGAGCAAGACCCTACTGTAGAGACTCAGGTCTGCTGGTAGATGGCGAAATGAGTGCAAGCAAAGGACTCAGCTCTCTGATGGAGGAGAAGAGTGAGTTTAATTCTTTAGCAGTGCCTCTTTATACTCTCAAAACTACAGTCAGAAGCTTGATGTCTGTGCCAGAACACATGAATTAGTTTCACAAAGAACAAAGCACATTCTACAGGTTTACCTTTAATCAGTAGGCTACAAAGAGTATGTTAGTTTCTTACACAATCTATAGATTTTAACGATTTCTAGGAAGGCTAGTCAGCTGGTGATTATGTTTAACATTAAACAGTCATCCTATGTCTTGCAATACCATGACTTGGACTTAGGATGTTTTTCTCTGATATATGGCTAAGGCAGCATTCCGCCAAGCCCAACTTTCTTGTTTTCAAGAAATGTCCGGTCTTCATCCCTGACTGTTCTTAACCTCTTCCTTGCTGTTCTCCTTCACCCTGCTTAGAAACAGACAGGCCAGGCATGGTGACTCATGCCTATAATCTCAGCACTTGGCTATAAAATATTCAAGGCTAGCCTGGGCTACACAGCAGGTGCAAGTAAGTTAGCCAGGGCTGTATCAAAAGCCCTGGCTCAAAAAGCCAAAACCAAACAAAAAGTAATTGAATTGCAATAAAACTGTTAAAGAAAAATCTCTACTTTGAAAAAAAGTATAGATTAGTGAAGATTAATATCTGATGTATTAGGCATACAGGAGGCAGAAGTTTAGAATAGCATAGTTCTCACATCAGTGTGGAGGAGAGGGAGAGATTCCTTTTTTTTTAATGTGTATATGTCTATGTGGGTATGCGCATGTGTATGTGAGTGCCCGCCGAGGCCAGAGGTGTCCCCTGGAGCTCGAGTTACAAGCAGCTGAGAGCTGCCCAATGTGGGTGCTGGGAACCATCCCAGAACTCTGGTTCTCTGGAAGAGCAGTGTGTGCTTTTAACCACTAAGCCAACTCTCCAAACCCTAAGGAGAGATTCTTGAGAGGAAGGGTCTCAGCAGTTGGACCTTGATGCATTTCAGAAACAGGTGCCTGGAAGTTGTCAAGTAGAGTTTAACTTGGCATCTGCCTCCTTATTGTTTCTCTCTTGGGCAGAGTTAGGTTAAAGCAGAGCTAGCTGAACAAGGGCTTGTCATAGCCACACTTTGAAGTCAAGAATGATAATTTTGTATGTTAGGGGTTCCCATAGTTTAAAATTGAATCTATACTTAGTCATTCTTGATGCTCTTTTTCTTGAGAATGATGAATGTTAGAAAGTTTCAAAGCTACAGGTAAAAAGCTATGAGTATAGCTATCTTTTTTTTTTTTGAGTCTCATCACTGTGTATCCCTCGCTGACCTGGACCTCACTCTGTAGAAAAGGCTGGCCTTTAACTTGTAGAGATCCACCTGTCTGGAAAAAATACCTATAATTGTTCTTTCTTCTAGAACTGACCTTCAGACTACAGATGCAGAAAACAAAGCTAAGAAACTTACATTGCCTCTCTTTGGTGCCATGAAAGGAGGAAGCAAATTCAAATTAAAAACAGGAACAGTAGGGGTGAGTTGTGAATTAGAGTGTATGACATGGTTAGCCATTGAGCTATTCCTGAGCTACTTTTTTTCTTTTGAAAATACAAATGACTTATTCTCTACTTATGTGAAAAAGACTTTGGCTTAGTATGATCATATTGTTCTCAGAATTTGTTGGATTTTTTGTTGTTGTTCAGCTTAGGGTTATCAAGAATTGGTGAATTGGGCTGCAGAGATGGTTTAACATTTAAAGTGCTTGCTGAACAAGTGTGAGGACTAGACTTCAGATCCAAGAACCCAAGTAAAAGTGATGCGTGGTGGTCCTGCATACACCTGTAACCCTGGCACTGATGTGGGGCTAAGACAGGATTGCTGGGACTTGCTGATTGACAGTTTGGCTGAGCTCTAGGTTCAGCAAGAAACCCAGCTTCAAAGGAATAAGGTGGAGTGTGATAACCTCCTCTGGCCTCCATGACTGTGTATAGTCACATGTGTGTATATACCACACATACACAAAAGAACTGAAGAATTAATTCATGCCAGTCAGTTTGTAAATAACTGATTTGTAAAGTTTGTACTAGTTTATTTCTAATGAATGTTATATTTAGGAATGGGGCTCTTATATGAAATATTTTTAAGGTGGTTGATAAATGTAATATTCAGGGTCAATTTAATTGTTAGTAATGAGTATACTCACCCCTGCCATATGATTTTCCATGTTAATTTAGTGCTTCCAGTATCTTCCATGTAGGAATTACTGTGTCATACAGATGAGAAAATAGAGATGTGAGAGCCTACATCACACCATCACTGTGTAACTATTATCTTTTGACTCTCCTGTGTGCATATCTCATGATGTGTGTTTTTGCTTTATGTACACTTCTGTTCATTGGTTGAACTTTTTAAAAGATTTTCATCACTCCAAAAAGCTGAGGCTTGCGTATTACTTTGCTAAGGCAGCCATAGCAAAATACCATAGACTGAGTTGCTTAAGCCAAAACAATTCAGTTTGAACACCTTGAAAAATTGACTTTCTCACAGTTGTAGATACTGAAAGTCCACAATCAAGATGCTGACACAATTGGTTTTCTCTGTGCCTTACTGATGGCTGTCCTTTTGCTGTCCTTTTACGTGATTCTCTCTCCCTCTCTTCTTCTCTCCCTGCCCCCCTCTTTTCTTTTGAGGTAGGGTCTCACCATATATCCCCGGCTGGCCTGGAATACAATATATAGACTAGGCTGGCCTCATACTCATAGAGATCTATCTGCCGCTGCCTCCAGAGTGCTGGAATTAAAGGCCTGTGCCACCACACCTGGCTTGTCCCTCTTTTCTGATGGCATCAGTCATAAGTCATATTGACTTAGGGCCCATTGCTTCTCAGCATTTTGGCTAAGATACATGTGGCCTAGTGCCTCACCCTGAATGCCTCATTGTAACTTAATCACTTTAAAGATCATAGTCATCTACAAATAGGATCACATTCTGAAATATTAGAAGTTAGAACATGACTTTGTAGAAAAAAAAAGAATAAATAAAGCTGTTTATAGTGGTATACACCTATAATCCCTGTACTTGGGAGGCTGAGACAGGAGGATCTCAAGTTCCAGGCCAGCCTGAGCTACCTAGCCAGGTTGTCTCAAAAGAAATAAGCAGACAAAACAATTGGACTTGAAACACCTTGAATTGGGATAAACTGCCCTCTGGTGGCAGAGGTCTGAGGTCCCAGTTAGATAATGAGGTGGATGATGATGGAATGTATGGGGAGGGGCGTGTTCAGGTTTTAAACAGAAGAGAAATACCTTCTTAAAATGCTTTTTAAAGGCGGATTCATGACCTGTTCCTATATTTAAAAATAGTAAAGACTTAGCTAGTAGCCCAGGATTATAATTCCAGCACTTGGGTAGCAGAAGCAGTAGGATCACTATAAGTTCAAGGTTCAAGGCCAGTCTGGACTTTATGGTGAGTTTCAAGCTAGCCAGGGCTGCATAGTGAGACACTGTCTCAAAAACAAAAGGAAAGGAGTACGAACTGTATATTTCTTGAGAAGATTCCTCTTGAAGATTTTTTAAAATATTTTATTTATTATTTTTATTTTATGTGTATGCGTGTATTGCCTGCATGTAGGTAAGTGCGCCTGTGTTATGCAGAGCCTGCAGAGGATAGAAGAGACTGTCGGATCCCCTGGAACTGGAGTTACGGACAGTTGTTAGCTGCCATGTGGGTGCTGGGATTCGAACCCAGGTTTTCTGCAAGAACAAACAGTGTTCTTAACCGCTGAGCTATCTCTCCAGCCCTTGAAGATTTCTTTTAAAGAATTTTATTGATTATTTTTATTTTCTGTGTATTGTGTGCATGTATGTAAGTGCACCCATGTCATTGCAATATCTGTGGAGGCCAGAAGAGGGCATTGGATTCCTCTGGAACTGGAGTTACAGATGGTTGTTAGCCACCATGTGGGTGCTGGGAATCGAACCCTGGTCTTCTGGAAGAGCAGCCAGTGCTCTTAACTGCTGAGCTATGATCTAGCCCCTTCTCTTCAAGATTTTATAAGGTCCATTAATGTATAACAGGGTAGAATTCCTGCCACTATTACTCACCTAGAATAATGTTCTGTTTTCCTACAAGTTGCTTCAGGTGTTTTGTATTTAATAATCTTGTGTCTGTGTATGTGGTACTGGGAATTGAAACTAGAGCCTTGCACATGCTAGGCAAGCACACCACCATTAAGCTATATACCCAGGCCTGTTTGCTTTTGTTTTATTTTGGGGTGCTGGGGATCCAGTCCAGGTTCTTGTACATGCTCTCCAGCCTAATAATCTTTGGCCCTAGAAATTACTGAAAACAGTTGTTAAGATCCATGAATGGACAGATTTCATGTCGAAGTCCTGCTTCTAACAGACTTTTGGGGGGTTGATTAACCTAGGGAGATTGCATTCTGTACATTTAGCTTAACCTCTTAGAAGGGGTTTCTCTCTTTATCATTATGTAGAACTACTTGTTCATGGTTATATCGCCTTCATAGAAATTGCCCCCCAAGCGTCCAGAACTCCCTCCAGCGCTAATGAAAATGAAGGATGAGCCTGAAGTAGAAGAGGAAGAGGAGGAGGAGGAGGAAGAAGAGAAAGAAAAGAAGGACCATGAAAAGAAAATGGAGGATGGAAGCAATAGGCTGCTGCAGGAGCCAGAGCCCGATCCAGAAACAGCAGCTCAAGGCCGGAGTGCACCCGCAGAGCCCTTATGCTCTAAGGAAGCGAGAAGCCATGGTAAGAGCTTTCTTTTCCTGTGCTGGTTAGTGGGCACAGGATGAGTTGAAAAAAAAATGAAACCACTTCTTGAATGTGTGTATGTATATACACAAATAAATAAATGAATAAATAAATAAATTTTAAAAATATATATAATTTGTTGTTGTTACAGAGGACCAAAGTATACATGTGTATGAAAATAGGATAGGTTTTAGGCTTTAGAACTTTGCAGGGGGGGGGTGCTTTTTTAAAAATATTTTATTATTTTTATTTTGTGTGTATGAATGCATTGCCTGCATGTTGGTAAGTGCACCCATGTCGTGCAAAGCCCTCGGAGGACAGAAGAGGTTGTTGGATCCCCTGGAACTGAAGTTACAGACAGTTGTTAGCTGCCATGTGGGTGCTGGGACTCAAACCCGGGTCTTCTGCAAGAACAGTCAGTGTTCTTAACTGCTGAGCCATCTCTCCAGCCCCATGTTTTTTCTTTTTTTTTTTTTTTTTTTTGAGACCAGGTCTCACTATGTAGCCTTGGCTGGCCTGCCTGGATCTTGCTATGTAGATGAGGTTGGCCTAGAACTCACAGAGATCCACCTGCCTCTGCCTCCCGAGTGCTGGGATTAAGGGCGTGTGCCACCACGCCTGGCTGATGTAGGAATATTTTAAAGACTTTTGTTAAGTATTGCCAGTAAATTTTATTTTAAAGATGTGTAAGTGGAACTTTGGTGGTTCTGTTAGACTTCTGGAGACACATTCACTGAAAACCTTACTAAGGTTAGTTGAAAGTGAGGGGAGTGTAACTGGATGATTATGTAGCTGCTCTTGCTTGTTTTGTTTTTTTGGATTCTAATAGGAATTAAATAACAAAAAGCTCTGGCACTGCTTTTATAGAATCCATGTCTCAAATAGGCCAAGTGGAACAGAATAAAGATGGTCAAGAGATGAACAAAATAGCTTCACCACCTGAGGAACCTTCTGGTAAGTAGTGGAGCAGACTCCATTGCTGCTTTACACATAGGTGCTACCTGGCTTCTTAAAGAGAGTTGGCAGCAACTGCCTTGTAAAGGGAGCAGAAAATGGCCATACAAATGCTAGGTAGGTACAGCACCAGGGCCCTAGATAAAATGAGGATGTACCTGTGTCATCTCATTTGCCTTTTTAAAAACTCCTAGTCTACTTCCTGGGGTTCCCTCTGTCCCACAAAGCAGCTAGTGCCTTGGTGCTTCTCTCTGGCCAGATAGAAGAAGCATCTTGAGTATTACATCTCTCAGAGTCTATTATGTCCTACCATGAAAGTGATTCAGAACCTATGAAAATAAATTAATTGTAAGTGTCCTACTAGGAAGGCTCTTTTTCTATTGTTTTTGCCTATTACAAGTAGACTTGGGATAATAAAAGCAGTCTCATCACATTCAAGCATATAAAATAGTATTTAAAAACAAAGATGAAGTAAGGGAATAATTCTCTTTATATTTAAGATTTATTTTATCTTTAAAATTATGTGTATATATGTGGGTATGTGCATGTGAGTGCAGTGCCCACTGAGGCCAGAGGTATCAGATCCCCCTGGATTTGAAGTTAGAGGCATTTGTGAGCTACCTGATACGGATGCTGGGGACCAAACTTGGGTCCTACCGGAGCAGTACATGTTCTTATCCTCGGAGCCACTTCTCTAGCCCTTAATGTACATTTGCAGTCATACATTTATCACTGATATTTTCTTCAATAATTATAACTATTTTAGGAGGAACTTTTTTCTGTATGACTTTTTCTGAAAATGGCTATTTCTACTTTTTTTTCCTCCATTAAATTATTAACAGAAACTGAATATGAGAAAAGCAGAGATGAATTAAAGAAGAAGAAAGCTCTTGGTCTAGGCAAAGTAAGTGCTTCACTTCTCTGAATAAACATCAGTTCCCTATTATGGCTCTACCTTTTGGAGAATACCTCAACAGAGTTCCCGGCAGCCTTAGTCCCTTCTCCTAGAAAACTGGATTATCTTTAATTTTTATTTTTCAGTTCTAGCTACCCTGCTCATCTGCTCTATAAGCTACCTCTTACTAATTTGTTAATGTTTTTCATCTTTGTACGAAATGCAAAGGGCATTTGAATAACATGTTCTTATCTCCCTCCTTTTGTTACACAATAAGCTGTAATTAATGTACTCCATTCTGCATCATATGTTTTTCAATCTATCTTGGAAATCATATCAGCATATCAAAAACAACTTCCTACTGCATAGATGGACCTCATTTAACCAGATCCATGTAGATGGACAATTGGATTGTTTCTAGTCTTTTTTTTTTTTTTTTTGAGACAGGGTCTCTCTGTAGCCCCAGCTGTCCTGGAACTCACTATGTAGACCAGGTTAGCCTCAAACTCACAGAGATTTGCTTGCCTCTGCCTCCCAAGTGCTGGGATTAAAGGTGTGCACCACTATGCTCAGCCTTTTAATTCTAATCTCTTTAATTTTATACTGGTGCAGTAATCTTAGGTGTACATAATTTAGTGTGGATATGGTAAGCTTCCAGAGGTGGGATTGTTAAGTTGTGTCAGGGCCCTCAAGATCATCTTGAGATAATTCACAAACGGAGTCATAGGACTCAGCATATGGTTGTCCTTGCATCTATGATTCTTTACAGCAAGATACCAGGCACAGTCAGCAACAGGAAAAGGCACCTGGGACAAACCATATATAAAGTTCAAAGGGTCCTCTTCCACTAGAGACACAGGATGTGCTTAATTCCCCTAGCAATAAATTGTGACAAGTGTAAAATGTTGCTAACTGGAGAAACTCATTAGAGACTCAGTTCCAGTGATTTTTGCTGGGGATTGGTTATGTATGGCATTTCTTGCCCAGCCTGTATCCAAATTCCATACTTGCAGAGCAAAGCATAACCACACTGTATATACAATAGAGGCATGGTGACCCACCCTTATCAGTTAGGGCAGTAATCATCTTCCTCAAATTCAAGGTCCCAGACTCCAGCCAGAGAACAACCTTGCAAACAGACCTTCAAAAGATGGCAGGCTTGCCCTGTTATCCTGCACCTAGGTCAAAAGCAAATGTTTTAAGCACCTCTGTCTGTGTATATTTCCCACCCCCTTTATCTTTCTTTTTTTTTTTTTTTTTTTTTTTTTTTGGTGTGGGGGGATAGTTGGTGGATTGCTTTTCTGTTATTTTTTGCTGTTGACTGGGACTTGCTATATAGCTCAGGATGGCCTCCAACTCTCAAGCCTCCTGCCTCAGCCTGCGAAGTGTTAAAGCTCCCTTTATCAAGTCTTATATTGATGCTATAGAGTTGACTCAGTCAGTAAAGTGCTCACTGGGCAAGGATGAGGATCTGGGTTCAGAACCCTAGCACCCATATAAAAAGCTGATGCTGCAGCACACATCTGTACTCCCAGTGCTGTGAAGGCAGAGACAAGTGAATCCCTGAAGCTCCCTGACCAACAAGCCCATCCAAATCAATGAGCTCCAGGTTCACTGAGTGACCCTGTCTAAATAAATAAATAAATAAATAAATAAATAAATAAATAAATAAATAAATAAATAAATAAGGTAGAGGGCCAGTGGGATGGCTCAGCAGGTAGAGGCACTTGACCTGAGTTTGATTCCTGAAACCCACATGTGATTCTCACAACCTGTGCTCTATCCTCCACATGTGCCCTAGTGCATGCTTTATGCGAGCACATATATACACACACATAAATGAATAAATAAATAAAATTCTAACAAAACTAATAAGGTGGAGAGCAGTTGAGGAGGATAGCTTGATGAAAAAAAAGTCAAGACTCAGAATGTTCCGCCAAATTGGTTATTAATATTAAGATAATTATTAAAGACTCCTCTAGTTTTTGTTTGTTAACAGATATAAAGACAATAATTCTTTAAAAAATTATTTATTTTTTATGTGTATGAGTGTTATTCCTGCATCTAAGTGCACCTGTCATGCAGTACCGGTGGAGGACAGAAGAGGGTGTTGGATCTCCTGGAACTGGAGTTACAGACAGTTTTTAGCTGCCATATGGGTGCTGGGATTTGAATCTAGGTCCTCTGCAAGAGCAGCCAGTGCTCTTAACCACTGAGCCAACTCTCCAGCCCAACACAATAATTCTCTGAGGGGGAGTAGGAGACATGGATTGGGGAGGAAGTCTGGATGTGAGTGGGAAATGTATGAAATTTTAAAAGCTCAATAAAAAAAAGTTTAAAAAAAAAAAAAGTTTTTGAGACAGGCATGGTGGTTCACACCTGTAACCCTAGGCAGGATAATCACAAGGTCTAGGCCATCCAGAGCTATTTAGAGAAACTCTGACTCAACAAACAATTCTCTTTTTCTGTTTCTTTTCTTGTCTATTTGAGATAGGGTCTCCCTGTAACCCCTGCTGGCCTGGAATTCACTATGTAGACCAGGCTGGCCTTGAACTCACAGAGATCCGCCTGCATCTGCCTCCTGGGATCGAAGGCATGCATCCCCATACCCTGCCATCAACAAACAATTCTTTTAAAAAAAAATTTATTCATTCATTCATTTATTTTATTTATATGAGTGTTTTTGCCTGCATGTATTTAAGTGCACCACATGCCTGCAGAGGCCAGAAGAGGACGTCAGATTCCCTAGAATTGAAGTTATGAATGGTTGTGAGCCACTATGTAGATACTAGGAACTGAACCAAGGTTCTCTGTAGGGGAAGCTAGTGCTCTTAACCACTGAGCCAACTCTCTAGCCCCAGACAATTCTTTTGATTAAAATAATCTATTTCTTCATTGCAGTTTCCACCTATACTTTCTTCCAAATATCCTGAAGATGACCCAGACTACTGTGTATGGGTCCCACCTGAAGGTATGTTTTTTATTTGAACTTTCCTCTATGATTTCTTCATATTTTTGAATAGATAATATATATATTTAAGGTTCAAGTTAAGAAAGTTATGAGTATGTAGTAATAGGTTTCCATTTTGATTGGATTAAAGGTTCTAAAGAAATACATCAACCAAATAGAATTCATATATCCTATACAGACTCTTACTTTAGAAAACAACTATTTTCCGGGCATGGTGGCACACACCTTTAATCCCAGCACTTGGGAGGCAGAGACAGGCGGATCTCTGTGAGTTCAAGGCCAACCTGGTCTACATAGTGAGTTCCAGGACAGCTGGGGCTACAGGGAGACCCTGTCTCAAAAAGACAAAAAAACAACCTGCAGAAAAAAACTTAAAAAAAAAAATTATGGTAGTACGTGATGTATCTCTGTTGGTAGAGTGCTTGTCTAGCATTCACAGAACCTAGCTTCAATCTCTGATACTGCCTAAACCAGGCATGTTGACAAATCCTTGTAATCCTAGCACTCCGGAGGTGGTGACAGGAGGATCAGAAGTGCAGGGTCATCTTCAACTACATATAGCAAGTCTGAGGCCAGCCTGGGCTACAGTACAAAAACAGTAAAAGTAAATTAAAATAAAATGAGCCAATCATAAATTTGATTATAGTGAAAAAGAAATTTTTTAAGTCTGAATGATGTTAAGTTATGGTTTTTGGAAATGTCTTTATATTCTAGACATACACAGAACTGTTAATAGATGAAGTGACATCTGATATTTACCTTTAAATAATCTGGTAGTAGAGGATAAGAGAAGCTAGGGAAGGATAATAGACAAAGTACCATAAATTGGTCATTATTAAGCATGAGGTTTATTATATTTTTCTATTGCATGTATTTAAAATTTTATTAACAGAAAAAGATGTTAGATTGTACCTCAGCCACTCACTTTTCATCTAAAGACAAACAACTATGAGGTTCTTATTTTTATGTATTATAAAAAATGTCCTTGGGACTGTTAGCAACATACTCTGTTCCAAAGGCCAAAAATGTCAAAAGTATTTGGGAGCTTGTATCTAGTCCCTAATGGGTTACCTCTTCAGAGGGGGGAATGTTAGAGTACCCAAAAGCCCCATAAAAATAAATAAATGAAAAGAAGGAAAAAAAAAAAGAAAAAAGTGATGGGGAGATATGGGTGTGTTGGAAGGGAGGGAGTGGGCATGGATTTTATCAAAACACCTTATATGCATGCATAAAATTCTCAATAAAGGTTTTGTAAAAGTTAAAAAAAAAAAACCTATCTAGGCAATAAAGTGTATTTCATCACTTTTCTATAAAATGGAAGCATATTCAGCTTGCTATTTTGTACTTATCACAAGACAGATACCCAGTTATTCCCAGATTTCTTGTTTCTCTTTTAATTGGCATCATAGTTATTGTAGTTTGTTTTGCTTTTTGGTTATTTTTAAAACAGCATCTTGCTGTATAGTTAGGCTGGACTTGAATTTATAATCCTCATGTATTCATGTCTTTTATGCATGTTGGGATTATAGATATATGCCACAATGCCTGGCTAAATAGTACCATGGTTCTTTTCTATAGTATAGACTTTTACTTACTTAAATAGTTCCCTTAATGATATTTAGTATATTTCCAGTCTTTTGCCATTACAATCTAATAAGTAACCTGTAACATATATAATTTTGTAATATATATAAAATACATAAAGTTCCTATTGAATGAATTAAGTCAGTTTCAGGAAGGCAAATATTGCACGGTTTTTCTCATCTGTGGGTCCTGGACTTTTTATAGATACATAAAACCACATGTACAGAGGACATAAAAGTAGAAGCAAACCTATTTAGGGAAACAAAGGGGACTAATGAGAGGAGAGAGAGCACAGAGTGGGAAAAAATGCTCAAAATACATTATATAAGTGCATAAAAAAAGGGCCTTCTGTAGTACTATGTAATAAATTCTTATTGTTATTTTAAAAAATATTTACCCAGGTGTGGTGTGCATGCCTTTAGTCCCAGCATTGGGAGGCAGAGGCAGGTGGATCTCTGAGTTCGCAGCCAGCCTGGTCTCCATAGTGAATCTAGGCCAGCTGTGCTACAGGGAGATGCTGTCTCAAAAAACCCAAAAAATAATAATTTATTTTATTTTATATATATGAGCATTTTGTCTGTGTGTATATAAACTTACTACATGTGTGCATTGCAGGCAGAGGCCAGAAGAGGGCATTGGATCTCCTGGAACTGGAGTTACTGACAGTGTTAGCCACCATGTTGGTGCTGGGAACTGAGCCTAGGTCCTCTACAAGAGCAGCCAGTGCTCTTAACCTCTGAGCCATCTCTCCAGCCCCTCTAAAAATTTTTAAATGGGGGGCTGGAGAGATGGCTCAGCGGTTAAGAGCATTGACTGCTCTTGTAGAGGACCCGGGTTCAATTCCTAGCACCCACATGGCGGCTAACAATCGTCTGTAGCTCCAGGTCCAGGGGAATCTGACACCCTCTTCTGACC